GAAACGTTACTAAAAAAATCAATTATTTCATTTCCTGTGACTATGCGTTTATGAAACATTTTCACTGGAATAACCTCACTGAAACTCGGTTAGCCGGGATGATGTAAACAGCCCTTAGAATCACAATCGCTCGTGGAGTACCATTTTGAGAATGGTGTGATTCATGTGACGTCACAGAGGGGTCATTTTGACAGGTAACCACCAATGATTAACTGAGCATAAAATCAACTGAAGCTCTTTTTAATACATTTTTTTACCAATATTGGGGCGTGGCTAGAAGTGATGACAGTGCAAGCTCAAGGGAACATTGATAATTTGGAGAGGGACTATAGCATATAATCACATCTATTCATGTTGTATAACCATTATCACAAATGACATTAATAGAATATAAAAATAATTCATATCTGTCTATTTAAGGTAGTTCGCACAGTTGAAACAAGTTGCCATTATATAAATACGATCCATCATTTTGAAAAAATTCTTTTAAGAACAACTTGTACCTTTCTTTCCCCATGCTACTACAACACAAAACATTTTACTATACCACCGTTGTTATTCTATCCTGCAAATATTTCCATTTGTTAACTTAATAATTATTCAGTGAGAGTTGAGCTCTCGGCTTGATCTACTTTGTTATTACTTTCATCTTTAATTTTGGTCAACGTTGATGCTTCTTGATCAATTTCCTCTACCTCAATTTGTCGCAAATGTTGCTCTTATTCTATAGTTAAATAATTAGTTCGAAGTCTAAGGATAACAGTAAATAAATAAAAAAATTCCAGAACAATTACATATTTATAGTTTTTGAATCAACGAAACCATTGAGGCTCCAAAAGCCTTCACAAATATCGTTAAATACAAATGGCAATTTTTTGCACCTTATCAAGTGTAATCAATTTAATACTAAAAATGATATTCTCCTCCATCCTACCAAGCACATTCTTAATACATTGCCCTTTTTAATAGCATGGTTAGTGGATGCATGTAATTTATAGATAGAGGTTTGGCAAATTACGTAGAACGTTCAGTAGAACAAAATAAACATATATTACCGTTATCTTTACATGACCAATAGCAAACGCATATAATGATTAAGAATGTTACAGCGATTCCAATAGCAGCACCGATAAGTTTCATCTTATAAGATCTTGAAGTTTCTACAGGAAAAAATAAAGTAACATTTTCAATGTCCTTGCTTACAACATATTTTGAAAAATGCAACCTCAACTTAATATTTTTAAAATAAGCATATAGTTCATATGTTTTACAATATGTTAAATAGTCACTTATAAAGCCGCTTGGAACATTTTTCGATTCTCTCAGAGCGAGACGAGGAAATTTAAGGAGTATGGTTCTATCTTCCTGAAAACAATTAATATCAACATTTCACACTATGTGGGCGTTCCCCTGCCCCCAGTAAGGTCATCACCATTAATATCTTTTGTAAGTGCCCAACGTCATTATGGTGCAGAATTCAATTAAATTGCCTCCTGAATGGACTCAAAATGACCAATAGCATCATATAACTCTAAAAAGCAGGAAAAATCTACCAGGGTTAAGCAAAATAAATTATAGCAGTCTGCATGAGACTAGTGTAATTGATTTTGCCACACATTATCTTATTCCAAAGCAAAAATATCAACACCAATTCGCTCCAAAGACGATCATTTAAATTCAAGCAAAACACATTTAGAATTTTCGGTTGGAAAAGTCAACTGCATGAAAAGCAAATTCAATTGAAATTCTTTAGCTTTATAGAAGAAAATGAAACAAGAAAAAAGATATATGCATGCACAGCACGAGAATAGACGTAAGCGGTTGTCTTCATGCATCTCACACAAACTACATTCGTTTTTGTTCACAAAATTTATGTTTAGAGCTTGATTACACGAACAGTTGTGTTGCTAAGGCAAGTTATCTTCATTTAACGAGTTTACATGAGCAAGAAGAAAAATTCTCCTCGCCACTTGTCTGACACAACATGTTTTTCTTACTATTAATTAGCTACTGAAGAGGCCACAGTAATCTGCTCTGAGGGGGGTGGGGGTGGTTGTTAATCTATATACAACGTTAATTGTGGATGAAAATCAGTTTTGTAGTAGAAAAAATGATTAAATAAAAGATTAAGATAAAATGCATAAGAACATTGACTACGTTTAACATAACAAGCCTTTAGATGGATTATGGCAATATATTGTGCTTGAAATCTGATTGCGCTTTTCGTGTGTGAACCATAGCTACCAGAGTTACCCAAGATAAGCAAATGATTTGTTGAAGAACGTAATTTTATTTTTGCAGTTGCATTTTCTCCACAATATATACCAAGTAAAGGAGCGGTATCGTTTGGACCATTGTAAATATTGAGAAATGTATCGTTGCATTGGGGATGTATCATATTGAGAATTCTAGTGACATGACAAAGGTTTCTGGTACAGTAATCAGCCATGAGCAATATTGAGAATGGAGTTCCATTTGGCTATGTGGTGTTTTGAGTGAAGATATAGAGCACTTGAGACCACTGATAAAAAATGACAATCTAAAGTGTAGAAATACTTTCAATTGGGAAAATTATAAAAACTTTAACTTTGGAAAATTTTAGAATCATTTCAACATATAGTTGATTTATATAAGGCTGTATTTCTTGTCCTTGTTGTGAAATGAAAATTTATATGTACACAATAACTTTTATATTTATCTTGATGAAGCTCAATTACCTATGTAGTAATAGTAGCAAAGTTTTAAAAGTATAGCTAAAATATTCATAATTACATGATTTCCAGAAAGACTATCAGTATTGTTTTCATCCTACGTATAAAATAAAATATACTCTATATGACTTGTAGCCCACTTCACCATATGACATTTAGCATTTCACATCTTGATGCCTTGGAAGTGTAAATTGTATATTTACAAGTAAAACATTAAGCAGCTTAACATGAAACAGTACATGAACAACGTGATGAAGGTTGCATTGAAACATTCAAACAGAATTTATTTATGTCACCGAATAAAGAAAAGCAACGATTTAAACAAGAAAATATAATACCAATTAACCGTAGAATGACAAACTCCTGATAAACCAAGAAAAAGTTTATATTTTTTGACAAACGACTAAGTTGATGGAAGAGGAGTGTGTGTTTAAAGACAGAGCATTTTTATTCGTAATCCGTATATTCTTCATTTTTTGGATTCATGAAATTAAAATTGCGGTGTATATAAGTAAGTCACTAGATATTTGTTGATGCTTACAACTACTTTTGCACAGTAAAGATGCTCATTAAATGTCACGAAATAAATAAGTTTGATATCAAACAGTTCTTCATCAATGTATCGCCAGTCAGGAGAATATGGTTAAATATATAGTTGAAATGTAGAATGATACGTTACGTTACCAGATTTAGTTAAGTTTTCAGAATTATATCATGATGTTAGAAGCACAATTCTACCTCACCATTGCTACGTCACTACGGGATTACATGGATTGCGCCAGCGATCACAACTTCAAATGTAAAGGTGAACCAGTGAACTCGACATTTGAATAACTGGAATGATAACCGAAGCCAAAAATTGAAGCCAAAAAAATATTTGTCGTCATCATTCGTCATCACACGTCAGGCTCTAGTCTCTCGCGTGCTCATTTTAATTCTTTTAAATCATTTGTCCCTTGGTAATGGTAGAGTTCGGATCTTGATCAGAGCGTAAAAATAACGAAATTTTTGGAAGGAAAAGGTTCACGGAAAGTGAATCAAAGTGATAAATCGAGAAGCAGGGTGAGGTGAACTTAGTCGATCTGCTTTTACGCTGCGGTTTTCCTTTAAAACATATCAAAGTCTTTAAGGTAAATGGTTTGAGCCCGGGAGTATCGTTACATGTTTGTAAATGTAGATCGTCCAGGTTGGTATAGTCCTGAGAAGGACTGTTTTTGTTGTTGTTGACTGACTTTTCGACAACCTTAGCAGTAGTCATCTTCAGAGTCAAATGAATCAAAGAGAAGATGACTACCGCTAAGGTTGTCGAAACGTCAGTCAACAATAACAAAAACAGTCCTTCTCACTATACTGGACGATCTACATTTACAAACATGCAAAGTCTTTAAGGATATTCAATTATTGATATCGAGATGACAACCATGTAGTATTTCAAGCACAATAAAAATCGATGAAAAATACAATCGCTCTGTAAAAAGTAAAAATGCGAGTTATAGACTCAATATGTTTTATGAAACTGGATATTCAAGTTTCTTTTTTCTTCGGAAAAACAGATCTTTAAATCCACTGAAATGACAAAAAAAGACAAACACTGTCTGACACCGTTTGAAAATTTACCTTCGGACGAAAGAAAAGTTTATGCTTGAATATTTTCTCGTCATATTTTCTATTGTATTGTCTTTTTAGCATACAGTGTAATTTTCATTTGGCTTTTCCTCGTTACAAGTTGTAAGTTAAAACGAACTCACTGTAGTAAAGTTTCAGCTGTAAAAAATAACCTTTTGCGAAGAGTTGACCTCGTGTGTTGTTTGTCGTGATGTTGTTTATATGTTTATGCTTTCGCAATTTGTATTCAAATTTATATTGGCCGTGTATGTTTGGCACTCAGGGGAATGAAACTGACGTAGAAACCGCGTGAATATTCGACTTTGAAGGACTGGAACTGACGTACAAACCGCGCAAGAGACTAGGACTTTGGCTTCAACTTTTTATCTATAAAATGTATTGTCGTTATCATTCCAGATATATATATATATATATATGGAGTTCACTGAGGTGAACACAACGAGATAGGACGCTTTTGTATTGCCATTGTAATATTAATATATTTTGGGCAATCGTTTTGCATCGGGGAATTTACAGCAAGCAATCTTGCTGTTTCCCACTCTTACTACGATACAGGTCGACGTAATCGTCAATTTAAACTATTTTTCTACTCATTTTGTTGTTTTTCTTCGCAATCGACCGAAAACGCATGGCGGCGGAAGGTGAAACCGGCCATGAAGACTCGTCTGGCTCGGAAAATGAACGAGATGAAAGTCGTAATAACCGACGGATTAAAACATCATCTGATATACCATCGACAAGTGATGACGGTAAGGATATGGGACGAGATATAATTGCAATGCAACAAGTCCTGACTGATGGTCTTCAGCGAGGTTTTTCTAAGCTTACGGAGGCTATTGCTTCGCAGTTAAGCAACGCTACCAAACAGGGGCGCACTAGGACTCGCTCAGCATCAGAGTCATCGGACTCCGTGGCATCAGTAGCATCGGAAACACGAAAAGCTACTAAAAGAGCGCGTCGTGAGTCAACAGGTGATGTTGACGTGGAAGTTGACGAATTGTTAGCAGGGAATGATCCCAACACTACATCGAATGTTGCCTCTGCTCAAAATGAGGAGGATGTTCTAGGCTCAATAGCTGAAGAATACAACCTTGACGAACAATGTGCTGAAGAGGTTAATCCTAAACTAGCAAGCATTGTTAACAAAATGGTGCGTAACAGATTAACCGATGAAAAACTTAAAGAAAAATTGACACAGAGTACTCGGCCCACAAACTGCGAGAACATTGTAGGCACTAAAATCAACCCTGAAATTTGGCCAAAATTGAAGTCAAGCACTCGGAGTCGAGATATTAAATTACAACGGGTGCAAAATATGTTACTGAAGGCTAGCATTCCGGTGGTTAAAGTTATCCACAAACTCATGCAGGCTGATTCATCTCAACTTGATGATAATAAATCACTGATAAGGAGTCTAATGGACTCTATGGCCATTCTGGGACATACTAATTATGAGTTCGTGCAAAGACGTAGAGAACTGATACGACCAGACCTTAATGATAAATATCAGCAACTTTGTGGTGAACATATTGAGTTCACAAACTGGCTATTTGGGGATGATTTACCCAAACAAGTGCAGGATATTAGTGCCACCAATTGAGTAAGCCAACAGCTGGCTAGTTCCCGACAATATGATCGGCAGAATGGAACGGGCTCCTACTCCAGGCACTCACATCGCCCAAGGGACCATTATGGTCAGAATTTTCGGCAGGGCCCTCGATGGCACAAACCCCCCATACCGGGGAAAGAAAAGGCACCAAAAAAGACTGCGAGAAACAGCAATGACATCTACCCAATGTAAGTTGGTAAGTCAAAATCCAGCCTCTAGTTTTATAGCGGGGCGACTTCAATGTTTTTATAATAAGTGGGAAAACTTAACAACTGACTCATTCATTTTGAATATTGTGAAAGGTTGTAAAATTGATTTACTTCAACAACCTTCCCAAATGCATGTTTCTAAACAGAAACAGTTTTCAGCAAAAGAAGCCACCTTCATTGAAGCTGAAATCTCTAAGTTGTTAGCAAAGCAGGTTATTATACCTAGTCATCATGAGAAAGGGGAATATATTTCTACTATTTTCTTGACCCCCAAGAAAGATGGGTCATTTCGTCTGATACTAAATTTAAAGAGATTTAACAAATTTGTACGCTACCAACATTTTAAGATGGAATCACTTAAGCAGGTTATTCAAATGATAAAACCGGATTGTTTCATGGCTTCACTGGATATCAGGGATGCGTATTATTCTGTAGCTATTCATGAGTCCCACCAAAAGTATCTTAAATTTCACTTTAAGGGACAGTTATACCAATTTACTTGTATGCCCAATGGTCTTGCATGTGCCCCACGGTTGTTTACCAAGCTACTAAAACCAGTTTATGGTCATTTGCGAGCACAGGGCTTATTATCAGTGGGATATATTGATGATTCCTATTTACAAGGGTATAGCTATGACGATTGTCGTCATAATGTTTCTACCACCTCCACGTTTTTATCTGAACTGGGTTTTTGCGTTCACGAAGAGAAGTCAAATTTCATCCCATCGCAAGAAACAGAATTCTTGGGATTTTTATTAAATTCTAAGCTAATGATTGTTAGTTTGACGCCCAACAAGTCGCGGCGGTTAAAGCAAGCTTGTGAAAAAAAACTCATGACACAAACTCAACCTTCCATAAGGGAAGTATCTGAAGTTATAGGAATCTTAGTGGCCAGTTTTCCAGGAGTAGAAATGGGCCCTTTATTTTACAGACAACTGGAGAATGATAAAATTTCAGCACTTAAGGCCTGCAGGGGCCATTATGATGAGGTTATGACACCTTCCAAAACCAGTCTGGCTGATTTGCGATGGTGGGCGGATAATATAGAAACCACTTGTAAGACAATTTCAAAGCCTAAACCTGAGTACACACTGTTTACTGATGCCTCGTTGCTTGGCTGGGGAGCAAATTTCCAGGGAAAGTCTGCAGGAGGGCAGTGGTTACCCACTGAAGCTGTGCAACACATTAACTATCTGGAAATGTCTGCAGTCCTTTTGGGTTTACAAACCTTTTGTTCTAGTTTGTCCAATACACATATTTGCCTAAAAACCGACAACACAACTGCAGTGTCATATATAAATAATATGGGGGGAAGTCAATCATTTCAATGCAATGCCAAAGCTAGGGAAATATGGATTTGGTGCATTCAAAACAGCATTTGGCTTACTGCAGTACACTTACCAGGCAAGTTTAATGGGGAAGCAGATAAAGCTTCTCGAGTTTTTCATGACCAAACAGAATGGCAGTTGAATCCTAGCATGTATCAGTATATTGCTCAGTTTTTCGCATTTCAACCGGATATTGATTTATTTGCTTCAAGGCTCAATTATCAGATACAACCTTATATTTCATGGAATCCTGACCCAGGAGCCTTTGCAATTGACGTATTTACGTTTGACTGGACTAATCGTCGATTTTATGCCTTTCCACCTTTCTCTTTATTGGGCAGGGTGCTACAGAAAATAGAACAAGATCAAGCTACGGGAATATTAATTGTCCCAGATTGGAACACACAACCATGGTATCCCATTCTCCGGAAGATGCTACTCCAAGAACCGCTGTTGTTGCCTTACCAGAAGGACATTCTAATATTGCCCTACAAACCAGGGGTTCAACATCCTCTGTCACAGAGATTACGACTGATGGCCTGCAGTTTATCCGGCAATCAATCGAAAGTACAGGAATCTCACCAGAGGCCACTGAAATATTAATGTGTTCTTGGCGTAAGTCAACCCGGCAGCAGTACAAGGGATACTTGGAACGATGGACACGATTTTGTTTAAAAAATGGGTTTCAACCATGTGCCCCACAGATCAATGAGGTAATTGATTATTTATTATCCTTGTTCAAGTCCGGTTTGGGATATAGTGGCATAAATACAGCACGTAGTGCCCTTTCATCGGTTCTCTCATTGCACGACGGCGTTTCTCTTGGATCTCACCCTTTGGTCATCAGATTTATGAAAGGGGTATTTGAACAAAGACCAAGTTTGCCAAGATACACAGCTACTTGGGACGTCAATATTGTGCTTAGCTATTTTAAGGCGCTACCTTTGGCTGAACACCTGTCACTAAAGGAACTTACATTAAAGTTGGCAAGCTTGCTGGTGATATTGTCTGGGCAGCGACTGCAAACAATTCATCTGTTGCATATTGATCACATGATATTGCAGGAAAACAAAGTTATTTTCCAAGTCAAAGGGCTGGTGAAGCAGTCAAAACCCGGCAGGCACATAAAGGATTTAGAGTTTGAGGTATACACACCGGATGAGAGATTATGTGTTGTCCTATGCCTTAAAGAATATCTTAAGCGGACTTCCGTCATTCGAGGACAACAAAAACAGCTATTGTTGAGTTTTGTTAAACCCCATTCTGCGGTATCCAAGGACACTTTGAGTCGGTGGATCAAAACAATAATGGAAAAGGCTGGGGTAGATATGAACATTTTTAAACACATAGCACACGTTCAGCTTCTACGTCTGCAGCATCACTATTGGGAGTGAATATTCAAACTATAATGAATACGGCTGGCTGGACTAATGCACGAACTTTTGCAACATTTTATCATAAACCAATTGAGGGTTTAGCTAATTTTAGTCAGGCATTACTGCACAATGTTATTTAAAAATTTTTTTTTTTTTGTTTTGTTAGAGTATAAAATTAGTTATGACTGGTACTGGTTTGGTTCATTCAGTTGTCTCATATCATTGGTACTTTAAAGTCTCATGTAATCCCGTAGTGACGTAGCAATGGTGAGGTAGAATTAACCTCTTTTACTTTACCTTCAATCGAATGGTGCTGGAAAAATCAATTTTTTGGGGAGGCAAGCCCATATAAAGATGACTTTAATATTTTGTATAAATTATTTTTTTAGAAATGCGTGAATTAAAAGTTAAATAGACCATATTTGTCTCTTCTGAAATACCCTGCTATTTTAAAAGTAATGTCAGGCTTGTTTCAAACGTCGAACTTTAAATGTACCGAAGGTATTAAAAACAAAAGAAAATAATATGAACTTCCTGATTATCTTTTGTTTTGAAAGCGTTTGGTTCGCGTGTAGTTGGATGTTTGAACTAGGCCTAACTTTTCAAAAAAATCAGCTTGATATAGTAGAATATATGAATATGATTTCCCTTAATTAACGCAAGTAGTTTTTTAATTGTCCACGAACAACACTATTAATTCCCTTACGACAACAGCCAAATTATGATTGCAAAAAATCTTTACCTGTGAGTGGAAATCATCTTTTGAGTAACACTCGTGGTTTAACTGATTCCTATTCAGATGACTATCTTAGAATTGCAATTTTCATGGGAGTCCCCCATATCATGCATCCTTGTTATTATATCCAGCATTTACTTCCATTTGTTTACTTAATACTTAGTGTTGAGATATGACTATCTCGGGTTTATTGATATCATCATCTTCCTTTTTGGAACTACTTAAGTTTGGTTGACGTAGATGCTTCTCGATGTTGAGATATGACTATCTCGGGTATATTGGTGTTGTCATCTTCTTCATTGGAACTACTTTCATCTTTAAGTTTTGTTGACGTAGATGCTTCTTCATGTTGAGTTATTACTATCTTGGGTATATTGATGTCATCATCTTCGTTTTTGGAACTACCTTCATCTTCAAGTTTCGTTGATTTAGATGCTTCTCCATGTTGAGTTATTACTATCTTGGGTATATTTATGTTAGCATCTTCATTTAATGAACTACTTTTATCTTTAAGTTTTGTTGACGTAGATGCTTCTCCATGTTGAGTTATTACTATCTTGGGTATATTGATGTCGTCATCTTCAATTTTTGAACTACTTTCATCCTTAAGTTTCGTTGACGTAGATCCTTCTCCATGATGAGTTATTACTATCTCGGGTATATTGATGTCGTCATCTTCCTTTTTGGAAGTACTTTCATCTTTAAGTTTCGTTGACGTAGATCCTTCCCCATGATGAGTTATTACTATCTTGGGTATATTGATGTCGTCATCTTCAATTTTTGAACTACTTTCATCCTTAAGTTTTGTTGACGTAGATCCTTCTCCATGATAAGATATTACTATCTCGGGTATATTGATGTCATCATCTTCAATTTTTGAACTACTTTCATCCTTAAGTTTTGTTGACGTAGATCCTTCTCCATGATGAGTTATTACTATCTCGGGTATATTGATGTCGTCATCTTCCTTTTTGGAAGTACTTTCATCTTTAAGTTTCGTTGACGTAGATCCTTCCCCATGATGAGTTATTACTATCTTGGGTATATTGATGTCGTTATCTTCGTTTTTGGAAGTACTTTCATCTTTAAGTTTCGTTGACGTAGATCCTTCCCCATGATGAGTTATTACTATCTCGGGTATATTGATGTCGTCATCTTCGTTTTTGGAAGTACTTTCATCTTTAAGTTTTGTTGACGTAGATCCTTCCCCATGATGAGTTATTACTATCTTGGGTATATTGATGTCGTCATCTTCGTTTTTGGAAGTACTTTCATCTTTAAGTTTTGTTGACGTAGATCCTTCCCCATAATGAGTTATTACTATCTTGGGTATATTGATGTCGTCATCTTCCTTTTTGGAACTACTTTCATCTTTAAGTTTCGTTGACGTAGATCCTTCCCCATGATGAGTTATTACTATCTTGGGTTTATTGATGTCGTCATCTTCGTTTTTGAACTACTTTCATCTT